AATATTAACCTGGGCGGCACCATGGTTCCCGATAGCATTAACCCGCTAGCAAATCCAAAGTTATCAGTGCTCTCTCTTTCTCCTTGATGTCATACTACCCAGATGCTTTACAACCATTGAAAGGGTTGTAAAGGTTACTAACATTAGATTAACATTAAAATTGCGAATTATTGGCGGCGCCCGTATTGGGGCGGGACTTGTTGTGACTGTTCTCCATCAACATATAACGTTCTTCACTGTTTACATTACCCAAAAGGTACATATTCTTTCTTCATCCATTGCATTTTCCTATATTTATAAATGACCCAAACGCAGCTTAATCAGCTCACAGAAATTGTCCAGTGTGAACAGTGACAGGACTGTTGTTAATGGTGACCATATTAAAACCTACTACACACACCATAAGCAAAGGAGTGGGCTGATGACCCATCTTGGCCGACCTATAAGCTTGTATGAGCGTTGCTGAACTCGTAGGCAAAGGCATTTGCAAAAGCATTTGCCCCTGCAAAACATCCTCAAAAGGATTTGAAACAAAACAGGGATATGGCCTGGTTAATAAAAAAATTTTTTGGCGACCACGAACAATATCAGTCGTCCTATGTAAACAGATCGCCCAAATCCTAAAATCAGACAAGAGAACTCCCTAATACGTCATCTTGCTGATCAAGTCCTTCCCATCTATCCGCAAACCAACAACATCAAAACTTGGACACCTCACTTCCCCTGCCAATCTAAATGACAAGGCAAAATAACGCTGAACCTCCAAAATCCCTTTCGTAGTGGCCCAATTCCCCAAAGCCTTAGTTCGGAACAAGACTTCTCAAAGCGTGGTAAAAAAGAATTTGTGACAGAGTCGGGAGAAAGAAGAACATTACAAAGTAAGGTGGGGGAAAAAACCCAAAGTCAGACAAACAGAAGGTGCTCTGCGAGTAGATTTCAATAATGAATCTGATGAAGGACAAGAAAAATATAACAAAGGATTCAAGTGGAGCGAAGGGATTTAGAGACATCTGACAAACGAAAACAAAACTCATTCAGTAGAGCACGAGGAAAGTTGACGAAATACTTAGCTCCCTTTAAGTTAAAAGAAGGTGGAATTTATTCTCGTCAAATTGGGCCAGTAAACAGAAAATTGCAACACTAAGTATGGAAGATCATTGAGGTTTATAGATCCGACGCATACATGGTCAAATATTTAAAAAAAGTTTATTGGCCAACAATAAATTGGTTCATTCAGATGAGGAAGTTATCTTGGTGTCTCCGCAGGCGCCATAATAAAAAAACTGCCATCACCAGCTATTGAGATTATGAAACATCACAACACCAACAAAAATATGATGTCTATTAATGCTAAATATGATGCATCCAATGGTAAAGTATCATCATGTTTGTCATCTATATAATTCATGTAAATGAAATAAGCTTTTCCGTTCGTTTGTGTTGGTTTCTGCATAATCGAAGAATAACTTTGATATCTACTCACTAGGTACAAAATAAAGTGGACAAAGGTACAACACAGTGTTCTACCTTTAGACCGGACCTGTCAAAAAATCAAAGTAACAGGCAAGGATAGACCATAAGACCTATCACTTTTGGAATTTATAGATGCAGGTATAGTATCAACTTCTGTATGCTTCAAAGGTCGCATATAAAGCAATTTAAAAATATTTTGAGCCAAACGCATGAAGCTATGGCCCAAAGGTACAACACTCTCCCACTACAACGAAAACATCACTCGAAAAGGCCACATAAAAGATATAAAATATTTCCCTTTTTAGCCCAGTAACTGAGTTTCTTTCGTTATTACGGACGGGGCTAATTAATAAATAAATGACCTGACATACTTCGAATTTAAACAATTAACAAGATGTAACACCACCAGTACAGTAATTTTACACTGCCATTACCAAAGAGTTTGCATTTTTGTTTACCATTGTTGAAAAAACTGTTATGAAATTTTATATTTATCATTTATTATACAAAATATTTAAAACAGATAAGGTTTACAAATATATTAGGTAACAAAAAACATTGATTAAAAACATATTCATACCTAATGTAAATACAGTATTAGAAATTTGAAACATTAAGCAAATGTAAAACGAATCCATTTTATCAAACATGGACAGGCCAAAAAGTTTTAAGTTACAGTGTTAACGTTTATCTACTTTAATAAACTCTGGGTGTTTTACTGTTATTAGATATAAGTCTCTGGTAACGTGGATCCAGCATACAGCAATCCAGCTGAATTCAGCCGTAATTTTTTATATCCCGCAAACCAGGCTGGATCCAGCAAACCAATGCTGGATCCAGCAAACGTGTCCAACATCGAAAAAAGGTAATTCATGCTCGTCATTATCCCTCTTTATTCCAAAAGCCGTGAGTCGGGCAAAATGCCATGCTAATTGCCGTTTGCAGGTAGGACGTGCCACCAAGAGTGAATGCAATAGCAACATCGCGTCGTCCCCTCTTCTCTTGATTGCCACCGCTTTACGCCTAACCAATTGATCTCTGAAACCATCTTCTGTTTTGTCTTATTTATAGTTGACTGTCGGCTCCGCCAGTAAAGTGTGGGTCAATAAGCCTAATAAGATAGCGCCTCTCTCAATCTACTGTTACTGACCGAGGGGTCTAGTTATGTAAACTGGAATGGTAAACTGGACTAAAATATCTAACAAATTTAGCATCATTTATGCTTAGCAAATCAACTTGATGATTTATGTAAGGTATAATTAGATCCAGCCCCAGCACCCAATGGCCCCCCCCCGAAGTCAACCTCGTTCAAAAAATGAAGATAATCAGAAAGTAGTTCCGGAGCAACAAGTCAAAGACTATTGATTCCTACTTTGAAAGAGAAAATTCATGGAAGATTATGGATACTAGGATGGTTTTAGGCGTTTGAGTTTCATTATTGTCCCTTCACCCGACTAACGACGGTTATTCGCCAAACATATGGATTCCAAATTTACCAACTTCTCGGAAACACTATGAAAGACGCGTGACAATTTACAGGTATGCAGATATTATTAATCTAGGTTTGATCAGAAGTCACGGCTCGTGCACATACCGATCACTGTACTGAATTAGTGGCAGAACCAGAACGGTTAGACAAATTTTTGGTTTACTGATTGAATACGACACCATTGGTTATCAACATAATGACGGCGCATTGCCCTAATGGTGAAAATAGACAAGCTCATGCCTTGCTATCAGGCACTTGTGCTATTGCACATGAAAATTCACTTGGCTGTAGTAGACGTGTGGATCAAAAAAGGAACCACCGCAAAGTAGAAGTAGAACCACGCAGCAATAGACGATAACTGGATGAATATGAAGACGAAATAAAGATAATAGATTGAAGATGACATGAAGGATATGGCAGTAAACAATGAGACAAACATCGGCGAGTCTTGTTGAATTGCATCCCGCGATAACAGCGATCTCCTCATGAAAATACGGAAAAATTGTTATAAACGTTATCAAGAAACTCACCAACCAAGGACGGCATTGTATCTTGCAAAAATATGACAGGAGAGGAGAAAAGGGCAAGAAATTAAGTTTTGATTCTGACTGCTGTTCCAGGTGGAACAGTTTGCTCAGAATGCTGGAACGTTTCTACAGCCTAAAAGTTTTGAAGCGATAAAGCGTTTTGATTAGACACTTGATTCTGCGATAAAATTTTCTGCAGGCGAGTGGTTAAATAATCAATAACGTTGATCGCCCGACTGTCAAACCAGTTGAAACTGGCTGTAAAGAAGCTCTATTGCCTGAAGAGAGTCTAACATTTTAAAAACGGCCGCCACAACCTATAAATTTGACCTAAGACAAACTAAATTAGCCAGGACCTCCGAGTCCCTTAGTACCGAGCAAGTCGAAAGCACAACCGCAACCAGAATCGTGGAAAACGGGCCCCTCTCTGAGAATTACAGGTACAATCTTGTACTTACAAAATCCAAAAAAGTATGACGAAGGACTTAAACAATCCTGGTTATTTCCCCATGGCGAAAAAGAAAGCAATGTCGACAAGAGCTGAAGATGACCCGACGGAGCGAAAAGGCGATCATTTGTCCATGATGACCTTAAAATAAGTCCTTTGATGACCTTAAAACCGATACCAAGGGGGCCCGAAATGGGGGGGGGGATTTCCTCAGGAACCGGCTATATGTGCAGATCTGTGCTCTTTAGGTAAGGCGATAGATATAAAAGGGTTTTTAAGGTCTCGCTTCCAAAAAATTTGCTTCAAATTGAACTACCTACTCCTACAAAGCAGATAAGTTCATTTGGGATAAAATTCCCTTCCTGAACAATTCTCAGCCGATACAAGTCAAATGCCCGATGTTGTCGCACTTCCACAGCTACAGAATACGAAGTGTTTTTTTTTTAATCTGCATAATAATTGTGGCATTTGCCCTCAGAAATTTTTAAGTTAAAGAGCGGTAAGATTGATTTGGCGAAGTTGCGACTGGATATATACGTTATGAACACAAAAAAAAACATTCAAATCGTGTTTTTATTTTGATTCCCACACTTTTGCTGGATCCCCTCACGCGCTGGATCCAACTGGATTTTAGGCCATCTTGGCAAACATCCAGCTGGACTGAAAAGCCTGCGCGGGGATTGCAAACCCTACCCCAGAACCATTAAACTTGAAGATAAGGTCGTCCAAGGTTTCTTTAATGTTACTACACAACTTAATACACATTTTTTCATATGCTGCAAAACACAATTGTAAAGTTATATTACGTGTTTGCGAAGGACATTTGATGATAAGTAAAAACTTTTATAGAAAATATTTCTAAACATGTTCTACTCTATTTTAAAGAGAGGCGGTAAATTATAGAAAACTAAACAGGTTTTTAAATACATATAACTAAACTCACTTTCCAATATAGGTAAACTAAAAAAAAATCAATTAAAAACTCATTCTTAAAATAGACATTATATCTGTTTCTCCAAATTCTCATCTCCCAGTACAAAAACTTAAACTTTGCGGGCCCTACAAAATTTAGACGAACAAAAATTTATGCACTTTTTACAGAAGAACAATATGGAAGAAGTTAAATATACTAAATTATTTAATTTTAAAGGACGGCTTAAAAACATATCCATCCATACTTTATGTGCGTACAAAACGTTTAATTATAATGTAATATTTCGAAAAATGTTTCAAATAAAATAAACATTTCAATAATTTTAAAAATACAAACAAAATTAACATACGTTACTGCCTACAATATCGATTACTGTATAATACAGCAATTTACACATTTATAAAATAATAACGGTATGTGATGGCTGTCTACAATGTGTATATTTGCTACCAACAGCTTGGTATATAATTTATGCATGACCTGTGCGTCATGGGTTTGTTTAGAAGTTTAGTTAGTCTTTCTTCTCGCCATAAAGCTTCTTGGAGTTCTCCACGAATTCCATTAGGTCACGAGACATAGCGTATGGACGTGCCATGCCGTCATTCAAGAGGCTGTCTTCGCAGAAGCAGAGGAAGATCGTATCGATTGTCGTCTGAAATAAAATTAAGGAAACAATTATCTCATTTCGATAAAGGACCAAGGGGGTAAGTACACGTAAGTAGGTCTTTAAAAAAACCCACGCAAACTACACACACACATGAGTGTACAAAACAATAATAGACATCAAAAGCGAAATTTGAAATTACACACCTCTTGATTTCAATGTAACTAAAGTATGAAAATAAAAATAGGTAATGTGCAAACTTTATTATTGCACTTACCAAAAAATAACTATTTACAATTATCGGAGGGTAGCATCTATAACAAACAATAAGCAATAGGAACAGTTTCCTAAATATTTATCATTGGAACGAACGCAAGAAAGACGTTTTGAGCAGAGAATTACAGAATTACAAAATGAATTTCTTTAATTTCATCGTCTTTCCATATTACCACCCCTAATACAATAGAATTTCGCATGGATCGGGATTACTTTGTCTAATAAATGCCTTAGAGCATTGCTTCTCATTCATTATTAAGTGCAGCTCTCAATTCCCATTATGCTCCTGGAGCATGATTTCTGTCCGACAACAGACCCTTCGTTTAAGCTCACACCCAACATGCGCTATTAGGTTTAAGTCGAGGATTCAATGCAGGCCAATTGAATGTACAGTAGTTGTGCGAATTAATGGAATCACTGGTGAATTTTTTTTTTCATTTTTTCAATATTCACAGTTGTGACAACACTACCTACCCAGTTTGACAGCTGACCAAGCATTGAAAACATAACCGTTACTGTGGGTGTGATGGGTTTGTTTAAGTGTGTGTTTTAGGTCATTCCTTACCAAGCTTGGGTTGTTTTGGGGGTTTATGTACTATTTTTGTGTTGTTTTTGGTTGTATTTCCAACAGGGATATTACGCCTAGGAAGCGAGTGAAAAGATTGTCCCGTTGAGAGAAAATCACACTAGTATGTGCACACAGAGAGATTGCTAAGAACGTGTGGAGTGGTTACAGGGCAAAAAGTATAAGCGCATTAGTAAGCAAAAATTTTGAAGCGTAAACGAGAAACGGGTTCAGTGGATGTGACCAAGGTTCGGAAAATGTGGAAGAAAGAGAAAAACAACACCACGCAGATGATAGATTTTATACTTCGACAGAGCAAATTGGACCCAAGAAAATCAAGTCAACAAGACCTACAACAAGATCTCAGCAGCATCAGCTATAGTGATTCATGACTCGGACTGATCGTAGAAGACTTTTGGAGACGGGTATTCGGAGTAGAAGGGCAATTCGTCCACAGAAAAAACAGCTTCTAACTGAACGAATGAAGAAACAAAGGCTACTGTGGGCCCAAAAAATACCTTCTAATTGGACTGTAGGCGACTTGGAAAAAAGTCCTATTTACAGAATGAAACCCCACTTTATCAGTTTCCGGAAACAGCGCAGCGGTCGAAATTCGTCAGACGTCTGGACAATGAAAAGCTTACACCATTCTAATATTGATCAAACCGTAAAACATCCAGTCACGCCAATGTTTTGGGGATGTTTATTCCATACATGGGGGTTGGATCTTTTGGTTTACCAATAGTGAGGCATGCAAGAGACCAGCCAACAATATAAATCCCATGTTGGCCAAGTACTTTGGCCAAACCAACTCCACAATGTCAAACCACAAGGAGGAGCGCTTCTTCACCTCTGCTCTGCTCTCCTATCACAAATCAAAGGCACTGATGACATTTTACAACAATAAGAAGATTTAATGTTTTAGAATTGGCAGGTAAATTTACCCGGACCTCACACCGCCATTGCAAATTTAAGGGCCATTTGCACAAGCTATTGACTGCTGCGAACGATTGACTGTACCCACTAAAAGAAAAATGATGATAGAAGCGGCCATTCAGGTTTGTTATCGAGTATGACAGGATATCCTGACACTGCAGAAACCCCATAGACATCTATGCCAACACGGGTTAAAAGCAGTAAATTGCAGCCAAAAGGGGGGGACATAATTCCTACTGAATGATGTAAGTTTACGTTTACAGTTTTTGACAAATATACATTTTTTACTAAAGAAACTGTTTTTTCATTAACGCGGCCGATGATTCCATTACTGTCGCACACTACTGTAGGTATACCGATATCAGCCAGAATGGTAGGGACTCATGGTGAGGATGACATCGGCTGCATCTAAAAAAAGACAAAACCCAATATATCCGCCTTGCACTACCATTCAAGGCCCAACAGCCTGACTACCCAAACAAAAAAAAAAAAAATTATATATGGTGATCGTCAACGCAAAAAAAGGAAAGACACAACAATAAACTGCAAACTATAGGTAAACCACCGCCATCATGAGGATATCCACAGACAATGGCATCAGAACTACATACCACTAGCAACTTACCTTAACATGGTCCTTGGCTAACACCATGCTTCCAGAGAAAAACTCTATTCCTATGGGGGAATGAACGGTGGAGAGATCTCTAGATGGGGTTACAGTAAAAAGGAACGATCATGTTATTAATTGACTCAACTCAACTGAAGGACAGGGAGTCACAATGCCGAGTGCGTAACATAACAAGAGGTAAAAATAGAATGATATCAACTGATTACAATACCGACGTAAACAAACAAGGCAGAGAGAGGAATATAGAATGCTAAGCAGAGAAGAGAAAAAATACACTCGCAGACCGAACAGAGAACACAAAGACCCCGAAACTCCAAGCAATGGACGCACCTAAATAAACCATTAAAAACCAGAAAATTCTACCAACAACTTAACAAAAGCCAGCAAAGAATTTTAAACCAGAGAACACATGAATGTGCCAGAGACAAAGAAGGAGATATAGTAACTCAACAGAGTGAAAATACTATAAATTTGGACAGAATTGTTCAAAGAGAAAGTTTGACAAAAAAACCGAAGATCCCTAATATGATGAAATTATACTGGATTCAATCTGATACCAAAGACACAATTCATTCTTCAGTAGCTGAAAATGCCCGCCGCAGGTCTGAACAAACACACCCCAGGATTCGACAATATTAGCGCAGAATTAAATACAGGAAGGTGGCGGACGCTCTCATTGACTGCGATAACACGAACTGTTAGTTTAAATATTCCAACTCAACTTTGATATAGTAAAAGAAACACATAAGGCTGTTTTCTAGGTGCACCAAAATTTTTATCTCTGTTATTTACCGACATAAATGTCTCGAAATTTGGCGACACCGTTTATTCGAAAAACTTATGTAGCCTTTTTAAAAATGATTTGGTCTTTACTTTTTTATTTTTTTTTGAAATTTTCTGTTTGGAAAGATTTGGATTATACTGTTTAAACGTTCTATTTATAACCAAACTTTTCCACGCCGATCAGTTGAACAGAGTTTTTTTTCTGTAATCGTGGCTTCTTATTTCACCTTATGTGTGTCCAGTAGTAAATTGAGGAAAACGTATTCCAAACATTGATAGAAAAAATTGCTACAAAAAATACCTGAAATCTAATAGTGAAACGTGTTCCTCATCATTGTCGCTTCGTAGCTTGATCGTTATCGCATTAGTGACGTCCAATCTCATGAACGTTACGGTATAGGGTCAGTTTAGTTCGCTTGAATCCGACTCCATTTTTAGTCTTCATCAATTCCTTGTATTTTTCTTTATCTATCAACTTGACTTAGTTTTTACAGTTTACAGTATTCTTAATTATATTTTTGAAAACATTCTGAAATTATTTCGTTTACGAGGTATTGTTTAAGGCTGTTTACAGCAGTTCAAGCACATTTACGATTTGAAATGGGGCATATCCCTTACTTTTCAACCTAGCTTACGCAGACCATCTTTACCAGATGGCGCCGGTTCGACGGGTAGTTTGATGACAACAAATGCATTATCTCCAATTCAAATTAGTTTAAATACGAAACTAACTGCCCGTGCGTTTCAGCGAGATTTGAGCGGTCACGAAGGTGAAACGAATGAAACATAAGCGGCAAAGAAAGATTAACACGTTTCACTAGTATAGATTTAGTGATTTCTTAGTAAATTTCTTCATTGGACCCGGCTTTTCTCGATTATTAACAGGACACAGAACGGTGAAACACAAATCAACGATGTACAAGAAAAAACAACCTCTTTCAGAGTGCTGGCCGTAAAAAGTTTGGTATACGTATATGTTACACAGTATAATTTATCAACAGAAGTTGAACAATAAAAAAAAAGTAAAACCATCATATTAAAGGCCACATAATTTGGGAATGAACGTGTCCAAAATTTCGAAGATCATTTTCTTCGGTAGATAACAGAGAAAAACATTGTCCCCTAGATTTTGGTGCACCGATCAAAGCTTTTAGCCTTAAGTATATATAATTAGTTAAGTGGCATAAAGATAAAAGTTCTTTCGTTTCCGCGTATTATTAAATCTAAGGTATAAGAAGACAAACAAAATAAAAGAGTCCCAGTAAGTAAACGTCCTAGGTCAAGAAAAAAGGCGAGCAATTAGCACTACAGTAATGTATGTATTATTTATATATTACACACAGTTTTGTAATATAGTATATATATAACTAAATATATAGTATATATCTATATGAAATATATATATATATATATATACTAAGCGTTTGATTACGTTTTCATAACAAACACCCGTTGTTTGTATATATATATATATTATTATGTATTAAATTTTTTTAAAAAAAATAGTTTTAATCTTCAGTAAGTTCGAATCTTTTTCCTAGACTAATTTTGTTTCTTTCTTCCTAATTTTACGGAACCTTAACACACATCACGAAAAAAAGCTGCCATAAACAAAAGTTCTTCATCAACTATGTTCATTCCATCAAGAATTAGAAGAAACCTACTTTAACTAGTTGTAGTGTCGATTCGTAAGTAACCTTTTTACTTTTTTTTATTTATTACGTAAAGTAAGTAACATAGAGGTTCATGACCTTAATATTATTTGTTTATGGTCAAATTTACCAACTGTTTTACTCTTAAATAATAATATCTAACAAAATAATAATTCTTTTGCAGAAAATACTTAAATTTTATCGTTAT